GGGGAGAACCCTGTATATGTATGTATATATATGTATGTATACACGTGATTGTGTGCATACATATATATAGGCCCGCGACAACACATGCACCATCACATAATCTAAGTTGCCGATTCTCTCTCGGCAGTATTAGCCACTTATTAACCGGTGCGAAAATATTTGCCGAAGCAAAAGCAAAGGAGCGAGAATTGGCAGATCGTTCTGCCACTAATAGTTGCACCTTTTATAATTACACAGTATTTGTACAAACTCTGTGTGCATGTGTGTATGCATGTGTGTACGTGCGTGCGTGTGTGTTTGTTTGGGTGCTTGTGTGTGTGTGTGTGTGTGCATATACGTATGTTTGTGTGTGTGTGCGCGTGTGTACGTGCGTGCGCGTGTGTTTGTTTGGGTGCTTGTGTGTGTGTGTGTGTGCATTTGTGTATGTTTGTGTGTGTGTGTGCGCGTGCGTATGCGCATGCGTGTATGTGTATGTTTGTGTGTATGTGTATGTTTGTGTGTGTGCGCGTGCGTATGCGCATGCATGTATGTGTGTGTATATGTGTATGTTTGTGTGTGTGTGCACGTGCGTATGTGTGTGTGTGCATCCATCATCTCACGCGTAGACTAGCTAGCAATTGTTACAATTGCCTACACCACCGGCAGTCCAGTCCTCTCTCTCTCTATAGCGTATGTACAGTTCAGTTTTGCACTTTGGCCTTTGGTACAATGAAAAGAGACATCTAAGTTCTAACCACATGCACAGATAGGAGGCACCACCCATCACAGTGTAACAATGTGCATGTAGGTCTTAACGACATGGCCCGTAGCAACCACCATGACGACGATGCGGTCCACGACATAACTGGCGCCCCCTGCAGCGAGTCCACAACATATCCAGCGCCCCCTTGAGGGACAGTCCACGACATAGCCGGTGCCCCCTGGAGTGAGTCCACAACATGGGCGGCGCCATCTGGAGTGACAGTCCATGCCGCGCGCATGGTGGGCGGCGGCCGGTAGGGGGCGCCGCGTGACGGTGGGCTACCGCGGCGGGTAGCCGGGGTGGAAGGTAGGCGTCCACGCCGTGCGCATGGTGGGCGGCGGAGGGTAGTGGTGGTGCGGCATTGTGATTGGTGGCGTGGAGACGGGCGCGGGGCTCTGCGCTGGACTCCCCATCGCGTGCTGCGCCGCCGCAGCATGGTGAGTCATCAGCTGGGTCGCAGACATCTGAGCGGGCGCTGGCTGGTAGTGAATGGTGAGGTTCTGCTGCAGCTGGCTGAGGTCAATCGTCGTGTGAGGGTTACCTCCATGCACCAGGTTGGGAGCCTGCAGCCTGCAACAGTGAGCGGTCGGTCGGTCGATGCAACATCAAGATCGCAACGTTAGAGTGACGAGCGTGGAGAGGAACAACAACGATAACGTGAGAGAGAAACGGGGGCAAATATAATGATCAGTGCGTGGCGAGGGAGCGAGAGAAAAACACGATGCTAATGTGAGAGAGAAACGGGGGCAAATATAATGATCAGTGCGTGGCGAAGGAGCAAGAGAAAAACATGACGCTACGGCAGCATTGTGGAACATGCCATCGATTTGCGCAGCAGTATACACGATGATATACACATAGCGGTCATGCGAGCCGCGCGGCGGCAGGTGCGTGAGGGAACTATGCACCTACCTCTCCGCTAGCATCGGGTATTCCCCCGGCGGCACCCTGTAGTCGCTGAGAGTCTGGGTAAGCTCGGACATCGCCTGCGTGAGCAGATCCGTCGCCTGGCTGCTGTTGTCTATGCTGATCGGAATCTCAACCCGCTCCATACGCTCATGCGGAAGCTATGAAGCACGACACGCGGCGGTTACCGACAGTTACGGTTGGGAAATTTTCCAGTTAAAAAGTTTTTCCAGGATAAAACACATAATATTCTATTTTGTGCGACTTTCCGTGACAACAGGCTATTTTGCTATACCAATCCAGCGCATGCCTGTACGACAGATGCAGGTGAGGAGGCGAGAGAGCGAGTGAGATCTGTGATGTTCAAATGTTGGTTTCCAGGTCTGAAACTTCCAGTGTTTTCCGTGTCTGGGTGTTGTCAGAAATTTTGAAATGTGATTTCAGAGTCTGGAAATCATGAAGGTGGGTCGCGTGGGGTCCGGCTGCATGTACGGAATCTCGATCACCTCTCCACCGATCGTCGCATGCTGCTGCTGCTGCTGCTGCGGGGGCGCCGGCGACCGCGACAGCTGGCCCGTTGGCGTCGACGTCACAATACGCGCCTGCCCCGCCGCCCCCAGCGGCGCCAACGCCAGGGGGCGCTGCTGCGCCGGCGGCACCATCTCCGGATGTTTCTTGCGCTGATGCTGCATCAACTACCGGGAACGGAAGGAGAAGACGCGGGTTGTTAACGACGCGTCGCAGGGAGAACGGACCGAGTGACAGAGAAATCTATATCTCAGCAAGGCTTGTGAATGATGAAGGCAAGCGCGAGTCTACAGCTGTGTCACCAGCGCGCACGCGGAGGCCCGCAATCCTCTATAGCAGACTCGCGCCCAGACGGATACACAGTCAAACCTGCGATAGCTGACACCACCGCTACAGAACCTGCCTATAAAGGACGGTTGTGGCCATCGAGTGGGTTGTGATATTGTGAAACTACCTCTATAGAATGGACACCTGCTCGAGTGGTGGCCTTTATATAAAGGTTTGACTGTATATCCACGACACGGCAGTATGCAGGCCTATGGTTGCTCAATGCCTCATGCAGCCATGCATCTACAGAAGCGACACAATACTGAATTCACGCAGATCGAGAGAGAGCGAGAGAGAGAGAGAGAAAAAAGAGAAGGAGAAAGAAAGAGAGATAGATAGAAAGATAGACAGAGAGGCAGATAGAGAAAAAAGAGGGAGATACAGTGAGAGAGAGAGAGAGAGCATGCTACCGTGTCGTCGTCTGTGCGTCAGTCACCCACCTTCTGTCTACTGGACAGCGTTTTGCTGCAGTACTGACACGGCTGCGGGGGCAGCGTGACGCGCGGCGCGTCCGCCCCGCTGGTCGCCTGCCAAAACGAGAAAAGAGAAAGCGCACAGTCACTGACACGGCTGACTCTCGCACTCCCCCGCGCGCGACTCACCTTCTGCTTGTTCGCGTACTGCTTGTAGCAATACTCGCACTGATGCGGCGTCGCCGTGACGCTGCTAACCGTCTGTGAATAGCTGTCCATGTTTACGCCGTCGTCACCCTGAAACAAGAGAGCAGCTGACTGTCTGCAACGCTGCCGCATTGTCGACGACGACGCCCCGGGCGGAAGGCCCTCGCAGTGCCTGCCTGCCTCTCACAGACTGCTGCCTGCCTGCCTGCTCTACAGACTGCTGCTGCCTGCCTTGCACAGACTGCTGCCTGGCATCTGGACTGGGGGGGGGAGTGCTGGGGGGGTCAGAAGGGCAGTCCTGGGATGGGAATATAATGGTATCGGGAAATGTAGCAGCAGGGGTAGTGTTGCGGTGCGACAGTGTTACGAGATGTAACAGCAGGAGTAGGTAGTGTAGGGTCCCTGTATACAGAGAGTTGCGCCATGACGAGTCGGAACAAGTGCCGCATAGCGACAGCGCTCATCTAACGTCTACTGCGGTGACTCTGTGGTGGAGTGGAGGGATTCTAGTAAACCTGTTTAGTCCAAATGTGTTCACATACACGCCGAAACAGTGAATGACCAGGGATGTATCAGGACCTTCTCAAAGAATGTTCGTTGGGATCGTTATGAAGTTGCCACGAGATGGCGCGTACGTTTAAGTGTCTTCAGATTAAAGATGGAAGCTCCCATCATTCGTAGTAGCAACAACTATTTGCAAGACAGAATAGGTAAGCACTCATCCATTTACCTACGCAAGCCTACAGGCTGCAAATTGCAATAGAGAGCTGCCACCTGCAACCAATTAATGCAGGCAAAAACTGCCCCAACACATGCACAGCCACTGCAGTGGCATACGTTACATGTAACATACTGACAGTACAGAATGACATAGAAATTATACGATTTAAGGAATATACACCTTCTTTAACCAATATTAGCTTTGAAATTTCACTGTGACATTGTAGCCTCATACATCCAGGCATGTATAGATTCTACTAGCAAACCCGGCAGTCAAATTCTTTCTAAGAGACAGTCAACAAATCCAAGTTTAACCCTCCTCTTGAGGGTCAAAAGGTTATCCGACACTTACTCTTCGCATGTCACAGAAGGGACATTTCATGGTCGCTTTCAATAAAGCCATAAAAATGCTAGGTCACCGCTGAAACAAAAAGTTTTTCAATCGCTCCGTCAGACATGTCCTCAGAAAATGTCTAAAATCTGCCCTGTGTGCCCACTGACCTTTGACCTGTGAACCTCCAATTTCGGCACAGTGATGGCTTTCCCTACATGATGCTATACACCGACTATCACGAGCCTAGGTCGCAGCCGTTAGATTGTGCCGCAATCTGCATTTCCTCCCTATACCTTAAGTTAAGGAGTGAATGTTCCCCTTCTTTTACACCTCTTGACCTTTGACCTTTGACCCCCAGCTTCGACATCCCAACTCGTTTTCGGATTTACCCCCCCACATCCCGAATATCGTGACCGTCGTCGAGCGGGTTAAGATTTGTGCCAACTGTTGACGGACGGACGGCGGACGGACGGCGCCAGACGGTCGACGGACGGACGATCAAGCGATTCTACAAGCTGCATCTGACTATGTCAGATGAGCTAAAAAATCGGTCACTTGATCGCTGGACGGCATGTTGTTTCCAAATTGATCCACACCGCTGCCGCTTAAGTACAGCTCTGTATGGATACGCTGTACAATGGTCCTTGTAATTAATTAGCTATGTCTTAGCTATAATCTCTGTAAATTTTGAGTTTATTGAAGCACGATTAGTCTAATTAATTACTACGGACCATTGTACAGCGTGTCCATACAGCGCTGTACTTAAGCGGCAGCGGTGTGGATCCATTTGGAAACAACATGGAGTCAAATCCTGAGTTGGCGCAACTCTCTGTATATAGGGACCCTAAGGTAGTGCTGCTTCAGAAATGGTGGTAGTGCCAGGGAAGGGGATTTAGACTATAGTAGTGCGGTCGATTTCTATGGTGGGAGCAGCAATGGAGGGATTTAGATGATGATTCAGGAGGAGGAGGAGGCAGGGAAGAGTAGGGGGGAGGAGGAGGAGGGCGGAGGAGGGGAGGAGGAGGAGGAGGGGGGAGGAGGGGGAGGAGGAGGATTAGGGACACGGGAGGGTGTGTACGCGGTCACTGTGACTCACCCGCTTCCTGTGACTCGGAGGCAGCTCTGATCCCGGATGATTCTTAATTATGTGTGCCTTCCTCTTGCTGCTGCTCTTGTACACCTGCATGCACCCGCGTGCGCGCGAGGGGGAAGAGGGAGAGACAAGATCACGTGTTAGTGGTGAGCATTGTCATATCATGAGCATGGTTACTCATGGCACGTCCACAATTACGAATGAATATTTGAAACACAATCTCCACGATGATGAACCGATTCTTTGCTAGCGTCGGTGGAATAACGTCGTAACTGCCAACGCCTTCATCGGTGGAACGTCGTAACCATCGGCGCCACGACTACGGCGCCCGCGCGCGCCTACCTTCTCGCAGTACTGGCAGTAATAGTCTCGCTGGGTCTTGAGGATGGGCAGGTTGAGTTCTGGCACGCTCTCCGGCTGTATCTCGGGATGCCGCTTAGCGAGGTGGTTAACGAGCATGCCGCGTCTCTTGAAGCCCAGCAGACATGTGTGGCACTTGTAGATGAAGCGATGGTAGTCGCTGGGGGACACCTGCATCGGGGAGACAGGTCAAACATCAATTATTAATTATGTTATATTATCATTTAATTATATTTTGCAGCAGCAGTGTTGGTTTCAACATTGTATATTTTATATACATATATATATTGCAACAGTAGCGAGAGTTTAAACATGCGATTACAACACGGTTCACGTGGGAAATGACGTAACTCGCACATAACACGGGTGCACACGGGTGCGACGCGGCCTCCCACGTCACCACAATGCCACCTGGTGGTGACGCGTAACGCGTCGCGACGCTACATACCTTAGGGATGAACTTCTTTGCTCCTGAGTTCTTGCGTGGGGGGCGGTTTGCCATCTTGGCCTCGCGCGACGGGTCGTGCATGCGCTTCACATGCTCCTTCAGCTTGTCCTTGCGTTTGAACTGCTTGCCGCAGAGAGAGCAGAGGAACTCTCGATGCTCAGAGTGCTTCAGCATGTGCAGCTTCAGCTGTTGTCGCGCGGAGAGAGACAGAGACTGAGAGAGAGATATGTGAGGGTCGGGGCGAAGGGGGAGGCACGGCGGGGGGGGGGGGGCGCGATCACGCTCGCCAGTCGAGCGCATCTTCCTGATCTCCCTCCCCCGGGGGGTGACGCCGCCCGGACGATGCCGGTGCGGCGTGGCGCCCCCTGGTGGTGGAGCCGGATGCCGCGCCCGGGTGGTGCCGATGTCCATGTACCAGCGTCACTCTACGATATCGCATCCGATATCGAGAGATTTTACAGAGTCTAACACCCGAGTAAGATAGAGTTACAGAGCCATCAAAGTATGCTAACCACTGCACCAGCACTGACAAGCGGACAGGAGAGAAAGAGAGAGAGAGAGAGAGCGTGCGTGCGCAGGGGTTCCCTCAAGCACGCGACGTTTACTCCGTCGTCACGGTTACCCGCGGACGTCGTGTGGCGACCATGCTCCTCCAACCCGCCGGCGTGCCCCGGTCTCTCTCTCTCTCTCTCGCTCGCTACACACACATGCAGAGCTACGCTGACACACTACGCACGGATTGCTATCTCTACGACGTCGACGGCAACGGAGGCGGCATGCAAACCTGACATGTACCACTGATTTGCGGAAACGTCCGGACGCGCCGTCGCCGTGAGGGTGCCACCGGCAACGCGCCGTCCGGCCCGACGCCCCGGACAATCAACACAGAAGAGTATGCCACCAACACGTTCACGTATCGAGAGGGGAGCGAGCGGGCATCGACACAAGGGGATGCGCGCACGGGGAGCGGGGTCGTGACCTCATGGGGGGGGGCGGCGGCCCGCACGCTAACCCTGCAGCTGCATGAGAGTCCCCAATACATCGGTGCGAATGACAGAGGCTAAAGACAGGGAATGAGTGGCACGGTAGGATGAATGAACGGCATACACGCAAACAGGAAGAATGACTGAGCGGACGGGGTGAATGAGCGGATGGGGTGAATGAGTGGGTAGCGGCGATGAGTAATGTGCTCGCAGACAGGGAAGCAGCTAGCAGCAGTTTATCTCTCGCATCACCGCAGAACTGCCAGGAAGCCACACAAAGATGGAGTCTGCCAAGCCTACCCTGTGACAGGCCAGCCTCCCAAGCCTGCATGCTAACAACTCTCCCCCTCTCTCTCTGACATCTAATCTTCTTTTTTCACCTCCTTTCCTTCGTTACAGGCAAACGCAGCGAACCAGCGGCATGGATCACAACTAAACGTGTAGAAGAATCGACGTCTAGATTCGATGACACCGAGGCATACTGACTTCGTGGTTAGCATACTCCTCCTGCTCCTCCTCCTCCCCCCGCCCGCAGCCTCCCCCGCCGCACAAATAAGTGGTACATGGATATCACCCGAACCCCAGCGCAGACGTGACAGCCAGTAACCGTGGCAACAACGACGATGACGCCCCTGGCGAAACTCGCGGTCGCGGCACGAGGAAATCGACCTGCCATGAGTGACAGGAAGCTACAGCCAATCAGCAATGCGATAGGAGGTACTAAAGACAATGCCTGGCAACGAAATGCGCGCGCACGATCGGTTACTGGCACGTCTACCCCGGGGCTCGCCCGCCGCTGCTGACTGCACGGTGGCGACACCTACTGGCTTCTTTTTCTCGTACTCGGGGTCGTGCAAGCGTTTCTGATGTTCACGCAGCTTGTCCTTACGCTTGAACGACTTGCCGCACTCGGCACACAGAAAGTCGCGTCGGTCCGAGTGAACGACGCTATGCAACCGCAGCTAGAGAGAACAAACACACGCCAGCCGTTATTCACCACCAGGGGGCGCCGCCGTGCGCGAGGAGACGAGATGGGGGGGGGGGCGACGCAATGAGGAAGACCTATCACCAGCAGGGGGCAGCACCTTGTGAGGAGACGAAATAGGGCAGAGACAGAGTAATGAGGAAGTCTACCTATTACCAGCAGCGGGCAGAACCTAACGAGGAGAGACTGAGAGAGACGCAGTAACGAGAGGGAGGACCTATTACCAGCAGGGGGCGGCACCAGCCAAGGAGACGAGATCGGAGAGCGATGCAGTAAATGAGAAGGAATCACCAGTCAGAAGGAAGATTTATTGCCAGAGAAGATGAGGAACAAGTGCCGCAGAGCGACAGGGCTCATCTGGTGTCTGGTGTTCTGCTGATAAATTCATTTGTGCATAGCAAGACGTCCTATACATACGTTCATTTCTAACCCAAAAAAACAACACTTCAAACTAGTGTAATAAAATTCCGATAGATGGCGGGCCGCTATCAAAGGCATCGTTGCATCGGTCAGCCAAAGCATTGCAGCAATGGCAGCTGTCAGTGTGATGGCGGATTGCAAAAAGCAGGAGCGAATAATTCCCATATTATTACTATACATAACGAGCGTTCTATGGTGTCAGGTAATAAGGTACATTAAACCCCTTGCGAGGCACATCTGGCTCGTTAAAAAATAGCTCAATGGTTGATACAACCAGAGCAGCTCGTGCAAGATTACAATTTACAGCAATACGATAGCAAATATCTCTAAACTAATTTAAGTACAAGGTAGGCCAGTGATTAGTGGACCGAATAAGCTCAAGAACGTACACACTTGCGTCTATATTGGTGCCAAAATTTGATGAGAAAATTTAGTCTGGGAAATCCACAGCCTCACTCCTGGGTAATTATTTGAGTGCTATTGACTGTATTCCAACTATTCATAATGTACACTACAGAATCTCATATATAAGTCATCTCATTATCTCCTAAGTAAGCGTTGTTCAAGTAAGAGTTATGTGTGGAATTTCACTGTAAAATGGGAGCTTTCCACAACCACAGGAACTCGCCAACGCAGTTGAGAAACAAATCAATGTTTAACCCTCCTCTTGAGGGTCAAAAGGTTATTTGACACTTACTCTTCGCATGTCAGCAGAAAGTACATTTCATGGTCCTTTCAATAAAGCCATAAAAATGCTAGGTCACCGCTGAAACAAAAAAGTTTTTCAATCGCTCCGTCAGACCATGTCCTCAGAAAATGTCTAAAATCTGCCCTGTGCCCCATTGACCTTTGACCTGTGACCTCCAATTTCAGCACAGTGATGGCTTTTCCTACCATGATGCTATACACCGACTATCACGAGCCTAGGTCGAGCCGTTTAGATTTGTGCCGCAATTCTTCATTTCCTCCCTAAACCTTAAGTTAAGGAGGGAATGTTCCCCCTTCTTTTACACCTCTTGACCTTTGACCTTTGACCCCCAGCTTCGACATCCCAACTCGTTTTCGGATTACCCCCATGTCCCGGCTTTCGAATCCATACGTCGAGCCGTTTAGATTTGTGCCCAACTGTTGACGGACGGACGGACGGACGCACGCTCATGCGATTCTACAAGCTGCATCTGACTATGTCAGATGAGCTAAAAAGCGAGATAAAAGGGATAGGAAGAGGAGGAGGAGGAGGATGAGGATCGGCAGGATGTAGAAAAGTAGAGGTAGAAGAGGAGTAGGAAACAAGGATGAAGAAGGAGATACATACCTTGTCGGGTCGCGGGAACACTTTCTCGCACTGTGGGCACGGATAGCGCTTCTCGGAGTGGAATGCGCGCATGTGCTTGCGACAGATGTTGTACTCATCGAATGACTTCTCACAGTGAGGACACGGCCACAAGCCATTCTCCATGTGCACGAAGACGTGCTCCTTCAGGTGGTTCACCTGACTAAACTGCTCCCTGTAACACAGGCAGAGAGAACGCGTGACAGAAGAGTGGTGTGTGTATAACAGAGAGGGAGAGGAGGGAGAGAGAGAGAGAGAGAGAGGGAGAGAACGAGAGTGAGCGAACGACAGATACAAGGCCGATATACGCCATGCTTAACAGCAACTACTGCTAACAGTAACACAACATCTCTAAAGAACTACCTGTACTTCCACACGAACTCTAGTTCTTCATCCAAACAGAGTAAGATACCACACAGCTACCGTACACCACTGCTATCTGCCCGCACGCTGCGGCAGCGGCGTTAGCTTAGTCGTAGGGAGACTTACTTGCAGAAGGGACAGGTGTAGTAGCGAGTCTCCTCATGCACCTTCATGTGACACGCCATCGCTGAGTTGTTGAGGAAACGCTTGAAGCACACCTGTGGATGTCCGACGAGAAGGAAGAGAGAGAGAAAGGTTAACGCATTATTGGTGGTAGTGCGAGACACCAGCAAGGAAGAGAGATTCCAAGCTATAACGAATAAAACGGTAGGTTGTACACCGGCGTTGTCACACGGAGAGATTCTGTACATCGTGGCTACATACTAACTACTGCTGCTTTCCGTGACTGCATACTGAGTTAGGTATGTGATGCTGCATATTTATGCGTGCATGCGGTGTGTGTGCGTGCGTGCGTGTGTGTGGAGTGTGTGCGTGGGGTGCCTGCGTGCGTGACGTGTGTGTGTGTGTGTGTGCGTGGAGTGCGTAGCATGCATCCGTGCGCGTGTGCGTGTGCGTGCATGGGGTGCGTGCATGCATGACGCATGTGCGTGTGCGTGGAGTGTGCAGCGTGCATCCGTGCGCGTGTGTGTGTGCGTGTGCGTGGAGTGCGCAGCGTGCATCCGTGCGCGTGTGTGTGTGCGTGTGCGTGGAGTGCGCAGCGTGCATCCGTGCGCGTGTGTGCGTGTGCGTGGAGTGCGCAGCGTGCATCCGTGCGCGTGTGTGTGTGCGTGTGCGTGGAGTGCGCAGCGTGCATCCGTGCGCGTGTGTGCGTGTGCGTGGAGTGC